TAATACTAAAGTATTATTTTAGGTACTGAGAGCGCTGGAGGTCTGTATACGGCGTGGTGTTCTGTTAATCCACGTAAGAAAATGAAACGGATGTCATTTATCCATCAACTTTGGTTTCATTTTCCATTTGGTGCTGCTAAATGCAGTTTACATGGAACTCATTAGCTGAGATTTACCTATAGATTTGTTTGTTCCGAGTCTAGTCCAGAACGAGCTGTACGTCATGTCTACGAGTTACCTTACTAGGTACGAGATGCCTCGCCAACTACGATGACCGAAAACAGACCTATAAACTTTCTTTATTATATACCAAGTGTCAAAGTTCATGTTTTCCTGCATCTCATTGGACGAGGGCGTATCACGTGAAAGTCACGAAATTCGACTGTCGCCTGCGGCAACAGCTCTGAGCGGTGGACAGGGCCACCGAGAGGTTGCGCGGGGCCCGGGGCAAAACTTTCCCAGGGGGCCCTATGACGTCATAATTGTAAGACAGGAGAAGCGGTGTTTTACAAATATATTACGCTTTATTGCATATTATTTTTAAGGGTCTTCGTTGCTTTGGGCGCCCCTTTTGAGACGAGAGCCCGGGACGAAATGCCCCACCCCCCTCTCGGCAGGCCTGCTTGTGATACTTTTATTCACCGATAAATAATAAAATCGTCGAGTTATAAAGCCAAAGTTATGGAAGTTTCCCGTTTCTTTTTGTTTGTTTTCTTTGACACTTGGTGTATAATAAAATACTTGCATTTATTGCGACTTTCGGGAAACAATGTTTTGTGGACCCTCGACTTCCAGTGTTCCCTCGGTCCCACTATATAAAAGTGTTAATTGCATCCTGTATAAAGATGATTTATTACCTGGACTGAACATCAGGCGATGGTTGTTGCTGATCTTCCTGAAGCGTCACGTGGTTTACGTATTCTTTCAGAATATCAATAACATTTGGAGAACGAGGTAGACGAACAAGCTGAAAAACAAAATATTTATGAACATATTATATCTGTTGAACCTATTCATTTTGAATATCATTGGATACAAATTGTATTTCAAAACCTCATTTATTAATAGTTAATAATGCACATACAATAAGAGGCTGTTTTCATGATCCCAGTTTGTTGGGACGGGATGGAAAGCGGGATGATTTTGATGCATTAAAATAAATCACTATATAGGTTTAAACGAAAGTTCAAACGCCGGTTAAAAGAACTCAAATGTTACCGAGATCTCGTACAATTCAAGATAATTATTATTGCTGCTTGAACAACATTTCGCTTACAAAAAAATCCATCACTAGAAAAATAATGTACTGTATATGCTATAGTTCTTGCTGAATCGTGAACTGTGACTTATTTCAATACATCAAAATCATCTCGCCTCACATCTCGTCCCGGTATCATGTGAACAGTCCCCTAAGCCAGATACAACCATGGCTGCACCAAAGTACATGTCGCACTCTCTCGTGTTTGAAAAGTACGGGTTGAGAAAGGATTTTATCCTATACTTTAGACAATAACGCAAATTTTCGGAAAAATATCAAACCGTATTAAATAAGCCACAATTAGACTATACGCTTTAACAACACATAATGAGGTTTCTTGTTCCGTCAGGAAATTTGTACCCAAAGACACAGAAGTTCATATTGGTCAATAAAAATAGTGATCAAATATTCACCTTTTTCTTTCGTTTAATGAAGTAACAATCATCTTCGAGTTTAAGTTTCAATGCACAGGGAATTTCAATATCAATATGTGGCTCTGACGGAGAGCTGGGTGTTTGTATACACTGCAAGAAAACACCAGATATAAGACCAGTGGCGTACACTACGGGTGGGGGGAGGGGGGTCAACCGCCACTGTATAAGGCAAGACTAGCTCTGTGGTATCTATTCCTAAATATCATGTAAAAAACCTGGGGTTCGTAACAAACAGCCATTCAAGCGGACGAAAAGTGTTGTCTCCATATCATGCAACGGTGTTGAAATATTTGGGTATATTCAAATTGAAAATCTCTGCTTTAAAATATTTGCAAAAGAAACGGTATGAAACATTATTTGAAAATTGTTTGATGTTGTTGGGCCAACACTGTTGGGTCCGTTTGAACAGGCTTTCATACAGGGCATTCTCTAATTCAGGGAAGTGGTTGGTTCACGGGGCTGTCCATGTTACTTCTACGTTATGGTTTGTCGATGGGGCTATTCACGTTAGTCATACTTATGAGGCTGCCTCGTTCGTGCGGGGATACCACCTGACACTCCGCCTGACCGAGATCTCGCTTCAACGAGCTTAAACTCCAGGCATTGTCGTAATCATGTTGAAGGGTTTTCTGGACGGAATTTTCGAGTGTAAATTTTATACCGATTTATTCAGACCTAACCAGGAGCAGTTGCGAGGAGCAAATGTAACTATATAGGCCCTCTGACAGGAATCTTAACCTGCAGCCTTGTGATTCCAGTGCAGTGCTCGAATCAACTGAGCTACAGAGACCATTTGTTGAGCTCTATAAGGTGTATGGGTAAATACCAATCGCTCAAAATCAATGAATCACATTTCAAACCTGGGTAGGTGTTGCAGATAAAGATTCACTTGAAGTTTCTAACTGTGATTTCGATGTATCAACATTTGCAGGTGCACTCTTCCGTTTTTTCCTGTTTTTGAGACTTAAAACGAAATAAAATAAATATGTACAATGCACAAGTTGGTACTTTAATTCCAGACTTTAAGGAGATTAAAAGGGCATTGGGAGTAGAGCTGCTCCCATCGGTTAATTTTCGTAATCAATAATTAATTTAAATTTGACATACCCATGATGGTTTGACAGGTTTGTAAATTGTAATTAAACTTTTTACTAAATTTTTGGGGGTTGGTAATAAATGGTAATAAATTCTTCTGATAAAAAAAAACTTTAAAGATATTTTCGCAGCACTGGTAAACCCGATCAGACTATGGTAAACATTGCACGCTGCGAGTGAATTTGATATTTGACCCACAATGTTTTGAATCAACGCAAGTCGCCTTTAATCACAATCTTGTCGCAAAGAAATTACCTTATTCCCACATCACGCTGTGTGGTGTTATAGATGATCCGATTACTGTTAAGCATAATCGATTGTGGAAAAATAATCGATTAATCGGGGGCAGCTCTAATTGGGAGTAAGAATTATGTTTTCTCCATTCGAACCACAAATGGCCACTATATAGTCACGGATATCGAGTCAAATATCTCATCTCGGAATCGTCTCATAGCAAATTTTACATCGGCCAACAGTACGAACTTTCTCTTTCAAGCGAACATGGTTTGTTCACGATTTGGGTATAATTCCCGTGACACATTCTCCAAAGTTATGAATTCGAATTTCGAAAGAAACGTCACCACATGGTCGTTGGCATGGCTCAGCAACCTGGCCTCCTCGTTCGAGCAGGCCTAAAAAGGGAGGAGACGAGGCGGGAAAAGTTATCTTATCACGGGTTACAATTTATAATGTTATAATTTTGGAAATTTATATGTTCTTTTCAGTAGGAATGTTCGGTATGAGAATTTTCCGGTATCGGTATACCGAAAAAATTATACCGATATTATTGGTATACCGGTTTTCCTTTGATAATTATAAAGGAAAATTCTTTAATGGAAATTTGAAGGAAATTTTGAGTAATTCTAAAAGGGAAAACGATAATTTCGAAGCTGTTTCGAACATGTTTCGAACGACACGTACTCAGTGTAAAATCTCATGAAGTGGAAATTCTAAATCATTGCAGTAGAAAGTTCTTTGAATTGCCATTCAGTAGTAAAATAAAGGTTATGATTTCGCCATATATATAGTTGGTAAATTTAACACGATATACCGAAAAATTCCGGTATATCGGAAATTTCGGTATACCGGTATGGTTGAATATCCGGTATCGATATACCGATATTGATTTAATACCAATATTGTATATTGGTATACCGAACAGTCCTATTCTTTTGTAGCATTAAAGTATAAGTATTTATTATAACAACACTACCATATTAAATTATACAGAAAATATTTGTATCTATTTAAACGTTATTCACTGGAATTTTTTCATGGAAATCCATATTAATTGCCATTTCTATACTATGGGTATGGGAGGTAGCACAGATTTAGTGGTGCAGATATGATTTCCATAATATACTGTAGTTTTCACAATTGTTCACGTAACCAAGCTTACCAAGTAATTGCTTCTTCGTGCAATCTCTTCATTCTCTGCCTGTTCATTTCCGTCCCTGGGACGATCTGATCTTCCATCACCCAGCGATCCCAACTAAAACAAACATTGACTGTAAAACCCGACGAGCAACGCTCTTATATACTACTTCTCTATACGGCTGACATTGAAAATCTTCCAGGGGCTGCATGGTTGTTCGAAAGCCAGATAATCATGGGTTTCGAAAAACTTCAAAGAAATCTTACCAACAAATATATATATATATATATACCCCACCTTTTATTCCATCCACTAAAATGAACAAAGTATTCAGGAACTTTCTTCCCTTTCTCATCTTTTGTAAAATCAACTTCTAAAACCTAAAGAATAGTTCACAAATGTTAGAATAATTAATGCGTATTCAGGACATTCAGTTGATTAAGTTTTTTTTTAATATATGAAAAATGAACTGTGAACTTGGAATGAATTTTTTAATGTTGTTTCGACTGATCGATTCATGTTTTCACTGTCAGCATCAGCGTGTATTACAGTAAGATAAAAATCACAATTTTTCGCCTGTTTGTATCGGATTTTAATTCATGTCAATATAAAAAACAATTTTCCCGAAAATAGTTACTTAGGTAGTGTAAAAAAACGTGTTTGTTAAATTACATGACATCACAAAGCACGCGCCAATTAATTACCCATAATCCTTTGTTCTGGCGCAAGCGCACTGCGCACGAGTATAAAAGGCTTTGACGAAATAATGAACTTTGTCATAATTGACTGATTGCAAGAGATAATACGTTGCGTGTCTAGCAGTTACAATTTCGTAAAAATGGCAAGTGCTGAAGAGCAAAATGATGTGCGAAAGGTTCAATTCCAGTTAAACAAAGCTTTGGAATGTCAAGAAGAGAACAAAGAAGTTCTTCGAGTCAAAATGTTCAATGATCAAAAAAATCTGAATTCTTTAAATGAAAGCAAGAAAGAGAAACTGATTGAAGAACAGTTGAATAAAGAACTTCCAAAACAGTCGGAGCTTGAACAACAAAAAGGTAACAATTACTTTAAATTATAACTTTTTATGCTAAAAATTGCACCATTCTCAATTCTCTTTGGCTTGTATTTTTTTACGCGAATTCAAATAACCTTTCCGTTGCTGTATAACTATCGCCTCGCTAGCGCTAGTCGCGCGCGCTCACCTTCGACATAATTATATTGTCTATATATGATGTGAACAGAGGTTTAAACTGAACAGAATTCAAAACCATTCAACTGTAGATGATACAGCCTCGACATTTATCTGTTCGAAAGTTGGAAAAAGAAACATAAATGAAATTCCTGTTGGAAACAATCGTACATCACCAAGACAACAAGATGCGGAAAGTTCAGTGAAGGACAACATTGAATCTCCAGATACTCCAAGTCTGCAGACATCTGATGAATCTTCCAGTATTTCAACGTTAGAAGCAAAGGCTGAGGGAACTCCAATGTTTCACGCAGCGACATTCGGGCAAAAATCTGTGACAAAATATGTTGATAACAAGCTTGGAGCAGTGGTACTTGAGGGAGACGACATAAAACTTTCTTACAACTTTCCTTGTGGTGGCAAAGAAAACTCTTCTCTTTATGGAGAAGATTTGAGCAGCAATGATATTCTTTATGGAGAAGAGTTGAGCAGCAATGACGTTCACGAAGTCCCGATGTGGACTATTCCTGAGTTTATCATTGCACTTTGCGGTGATAATCAACTACCAATCCAGGAACGACCACAAACTGAATTCTATACTGTTGACAGTGATGTGGAAGTGGCTGGTGAGAGAGAATCTGCAGATGTTGAATCCTGGAACGATGGCTGTCTTATTCCATCGTGTGAACATACCTGTTCCAATTTGCAAAACATTGACAATGTCAGCATACCCGGAACTGAGGTGAACTCCACCCAGGTGTCGAGTGCCGGGTCTCCACTTTGGTGCGAGGGCCCTCGCTTTGGGTATGAAGACATTGAAAGTGTTTTGCCGTTGGAGCAGGTGTTTACTGACAGTCCTCCACCAGCGGCGAGCGTGGAGAAAGTTACTCGGGATTCCATTGATGCAGAAATAGAGAAGAATAATGTTGGTTATGAGGTAAGTATAGATAGATCTGCAGATTTATACGATGAAACCCTTAACTATAAACAAATGTAGAATAAAAATACTACCAACTACCAACAATATGTCACTGAACGTTTTATCTAAGGCGATGTTCCCCCTCAAAATTTTCAACGAGGCTTTGTGATGTTAAACGAAATTTGATTGGTTCGGCAAAGCTCTGTGTTACGAATCTTCATTGAAAATTTCCCGTGAAACATTGCCTTAACTTAAAGCATTTTGTTGCCGACTACCGCAGTATAATCTAACTGTCGGCAAAATGTCCTCACAAGAACACTCAGCAAACAACAAAGGAATAATCTCATAGATGTTGCATTTTTAACAGCGATATGATTATTTCTCACAGAGTAAATCGACGAATACTGCAAAGACACAAGTAGTAATCACAACGCGAGAACAGGATAAGGCTGAAACCCCTCCACATGTTTACGCCAAAGTAATGATTTTGAACGAAAAGAAAGATGACGACCCTTATAAACCCAAAAGACATGTTGAAGTATTTAACCATGTTGTGAAAAAGTCTGCCACCTCAGGAAGGCCTCCACAATGTCAAATTTGTGACCATGATGATCATTTTGGTAAGTTCGTGTTAGTTTACTCTGAACTCACCGCCGCAAAGTCTGTATAACACCATAGAAATGTATTGAAATAAAGCCATGCTACACGGGCAAATTTTTCTGTATCTGACATCGAAATGTCAGACAAACAGTACAGCCACGTTACAATATGTAGAACATTTCTCACAGCAAAACATTCAGCATACCCTACGTTTTATTTTGCTGATATTTTTCGTTCTCAGTAACTTCTTTCATGATTCTAAGGTGTGCTAGTAAGAACAACGTCGCCAGAGCAAAACTAGGGCCATGCTCTCTGCTTCAAATACTTTTCAAATGACATGGCACATTCGTTGCATGTTGCAGGCTCGTGTAGCATGGCCTAGTTAAGCGAAAACTGTAATATCCCAACGACGAACCATTCAATGCTTTAGTTCCCGAAACACTACTCTACATCTATAGAAATGATACTGTATTAAACGTTACTCGATGAAACGTGTGCACGTGAAAAAATGACTGTATGAACGCATCTGAACCACGATAAAATATGAATATTGAATTATTTTATTTTGCAGATGAAATCGTTGTAATAAGCAGCAATATTCCATGCGAGAAGAAGAAAAAGAAAAGAAAAAATAAATCTAAGAAGGAAAAGGTAAAATGGAACACAACAGTAAAGGTGGATAAAAAGAAAGACAACAAGTCTAAAGTTGAGAAAAAGAGCGTTGAAAAAGATAAATCCACCAAATTTAAATTCCATCAACGACTTGTTAATATATTCTGCTGTTGTTTTAAAACTCGAGAAAACAATGATTTGCAATGAAATTATCAAGATAAAAAAAACAACCTAGAAAGCAGAAAATGTTATATTTCATTTAATAGTTTGTTTGTCTGTGTTCACTTAAATTGATGTTTATTAAGTTATTTTTGCATAATGAGCTATATTAGTTTAGTAGTATATACAATATACAATGTAAATATACATGTAGAAGTTTAAATAGAAAGTAATTTTTTTTTTCTGTGTTGGTGTAATGTACTCAGGTGAATATGATGCTTGTGATGTTACTCTGAGTGTATATCCACACCGGGCAGGCTTGAAAAATATGCCTGGCCACGATGGGAATCGAACCTACGACCTTTGGAATAGTAGCCCAATGCTCTGCCAACTGAGCTACGCGGTCTGGTCGGTTCGAGTATGTGACATTTCGGAACCAAATCTAGTTCCTGCAATATCAATTTAATCTAAATCATGATTTTTTTCTGTGTTGGTGTAATGTACTCAGGTGAATATGATGCTTGTGATGTTACTCTGAGTGTATATCCACACCGGGCAGGCTTAAAAAATATGCCTGGCCACGGTGGGAATCGAACCTACGACCTATGGAATACTAGCCCAATGCTCTGCCAACTGAGCTACGCGGTCAGGTCGGTTTGAGTATGTGACATTTCGGAACCAAATCTAGTTCCTTCAATATCAATGTAATCTAATGTAAACAAATGTTTTTGCAACATGCAATACTAGATTTCCCTTATTACGTTTTCGTAGCGCTTTGCATTGTGGTTATAGTGGTATCCTGTAGTATTTTCTTCATGATACTTGGTAGTATTTTCTCCTCTACCAGCACTTGTGGTGATGTGGTCAACACGCTTCCCTACCCACGTTCAATCTTTGGTCAGACCTCTACTCAAGGTCTTACAAAAATTAAGGAGAAAGTGTTACCTTTGTAGACTGCAAGTGGTCCCTCCTTTCCACAGGTTTAGCTTCCTGGGCGTGCAAGGGGAAAGGAGGGACTGCCAACAACACACCAAGAAACGAAATATGCGCACTTTTCGCTCTTGTCAAGTTGGCTGCACTTTTGCATATAACACTACTTATATTACATTATATCTATCCAATAGGAATTGTTAATTTAAGTCTGTCACGTTTATTTATAAAATCAACATTCAGTCTGGAAATTATTATTTATAGCACAATTACTACATATCAGGTTGACAGGTATTTCAGATCCCCTATCAATTGGGCAATAGCCGTTGGGAAATTCATTGAGAAACTCAATAAACTCCTGATGGCACACATTTATCACCATTGCTTTACCGTTGTAAAGAATATTGTCTGTTGCCATGTATCTGATGCACTCACTTATTGCACATATGATAAAAAATGTTTTATTATTCTAGGCCACACCATTTGAATATATTTTTACACCAGGGTTGGCACATACAGTATGAAAGCTTATTTATGGCAAAACAATAGGTAATGATGGGCGATATCCACTTTTTAATTCAATACGATACTGCTTCGATATTTGAACTTTTTTCGATATCAACATCACTATATTTTTGTGATATACAGATTAACAGATATAAGAATAAGCGAAATAATTAACAAAATTCACTTTTTCAACACCACCACCTTCCATACCTTTTTTCCCAACAGGCAAAAGATCACAGACTCAGCAGTATCGAAACAATCAATATTTTTCGACAGTATCGATACTTTTCATTCACACCTTGGGATCGACAGTATAGAATATTTGGTATCGATATCAGCCCATCACCAACAATTACAATATTTAGGTATTCTGCCCTGATTGATACTGGCTGACATAACTCTTTACCGTTGAAAGAATGAACAGGGCTCGGATTTTATCGCGGCAATTGCCGTAGAGGGAGAACAAAATGCTGTAGATCATTGCGGCAACAATGGCAATTTTGTCTGTATAGTATAATTTTTATACTATTCACTGTGCATTACTATTTTGATACTTGAATTCAGATGTTGATCAAATCATGCGTAAATTACTACTTTAGTCTCAGTTTTCTTTGAAAAAAACACTTAAAGAAATACGTAAACATGTTCTAGCTTGTCAACAATAAATTTAAATTTTTATTAAATTAACTTGAAAAAAAGTGCCGTGGAAACTGCCAAAATTGCCGTAGACAGCTGTTACATTCTACGGCAATTTCTAACGCCATTGCTGTCGATCGATTTCAGGGAAATTCGAGGCCTGCTTTCCACCATGGATAATAGAGAAATTTTGACTTGGAAAAGTAGTTTTTAATCCGGTGTCAGTATGCAGTATTTTTTTAATTATTCATACCGCCATATGGTTACCTGGAGCAATTCTAGAATATCTTGCCACTGACCTAACCACTACCCTAACCACTAACCCTAACCTCTAACACACCGCTAAACACAGTCGCGGGGTATTCTAGAACCTAGCCGGTTACCCTGATATGCAGTGTGGAATCACAGTGGAATCAATCAAAATCATAATCATCATCATAATCATCATAATCTATTGTATGATCAAAATTTGTTGGCAAAATCACAGACAGATTTTGCTCAGGGGGGTGTCAAACATTCAGGGGGGAGGTGAGCACGGGGCACATGGTGCCCCCAAGCAAGGTGCAACGCAGGTCTGACAGCACAGCCGTTAGTGGGGACAACGTTGGAGGTAAGGGGGCAAACCCCCAGAAAATATTTGGTCTTATTTAGTTCAAAATCCTTGTTTCAATCATACTACTATCATTTAATCCAATGAGCATTTAAATTTCCGATCAAACAAGACAAAGATCTGCACTGATCAATATTCAAATATCAATGATCATGACATAATATTTATATAATAATAAATAATGATTATTGATATTTGATTAGCTCGTATGTGAAACACAATAGTCAAGAAAAGAAATGACATCATATACCTTAGATTCATACAGAACCTTCGCTTTGGATTCGTCTGGTTCGTAACATAAAACTGTTTCTCCCACCGAGAACTTTGTCGTGCCTTGCCGTGTGGACACCATATTGGATTTCACGTATACTTGATGTAGTATAAACAAACTGTACTTTGATAGATGGCACTGCTGGTCGCAGAGTGCAGGCTCGCATAAGAATCAAGAGAACAACATGTTTAAAAAGTGAGTAGCATTATTCAAGTATTAAATTTATTTATATGTAGTGGTTACTGGTTGTATTTATTCAATTTAGTGTTTAAATATATCAAGATTAAAATTTTATAATTTACAGTATCTGTGATTGAGTAGTTCAATCAATCAAGCAAGTGAGAGAATGTGGTGATCGACCCATCACATATGACATAAATATTCACATTCACCTCATCACAACCCGCACACCCGGAAATCTATACATACATGAACTTTTGGTTACAGCTCAACAACTAGCCTCTGTAGCTCAGTTGGTTGGGGCGCTGCAGCGGAATCATTTGCAGGGCTGCAGGTTTGATTCGACGATTCCTGCCAGAGGACCTAGTGTTGCCTTTTATTTTTAAATTGCAACTGTTCCTGGTTAGGTCTTAAATTGTATATAATTGCTCACTTGGATTATCCATCAAACCCAGCATTCTTGACTACATTGTGGTCAACTGTTGTTGCAACAACTGTTCAAATATGCATTTCTGAGAATGAGACCGGTCACCAGCCTTCATGCATTCCATGTGGACAGTGAACTAGTCGACACCAAAAGAACTTGTGTTACCTCCCACTGTGGAAAGTTTGTATTTTTCAATCTGAGTTTGCATCATTTGACAAGATTATTCTTGCCAAATAAATATCAAATTTGGCAAATTTAGTTTTTCGTATGCATTTGGGGACTTTTTGCTCCAGTCATGCAAATGTATACAAAATGTATACAAAACAGACAATAGCGAGCTTAAGCAAGCAATGTTTTTGACAACACGAATGGCATGAGTAACGTTAAAAGACTGGGTCAAAAATGTTGGTTGGTCGATAATGTCAAATTTGCTTCCAGTCAACGTTCGTGTTGTCAAAAACGTCGCTTGCTTATACTGTAAAGGCACAAATATGAAATTTTCCGTACACTAATTTGAGTGTGCAGATTTCAGATTTGGGGTCCATTGTTGGTAAAGGTCTGTAGGTAGCAAGATATAGGTAGCAAGATGGAATCAATAATTGGAAATCCAATTGATAAATTGATGATAATTGGATGACAATTAGTCAATTCATATTACTTGTAAGTTGTAATTGGGCAATGGATGACCATGGGCCAATTATTTCATTAATTATTATTGACTTTTATACTAATCAGTTGTGTGACTTGTCTTACATTAAGGAAGTTCTCAGATTGAAAAAAGCAATGTCCCAATATTTTGAAGCAAAGGATTTAGCTTTGTCAAAGAGTCATTGTAACTTTCTGAGACTCTGACATCAACTTTTTACTAAAAGCCGGCCCAAAGCATCAGGAAGGACTCAAAATGTTGGGATTTTACCATTTTCTACACGGTGATGGCAAGACGTATATTGAAACCAACTTGTGCACCACTAAGATTATCTCTAGAACAAGGTTTAATTAATTTTAGAAATTAGGAACATGTGCGCCCAATAAAAGAAATATACTTTTCCCAATCTGGCTTTGAGTGCACATGATAGACCAGGTCAATCAGGCTAGCAAACTATCTGGGACCACAATACATATGTGTGCCTGTAAGCGTTTGTTTTGTGCAGTACAGCATTCAAAAGGATTATTATATTTCCTATTGTTATATTCATTTGGCTATCAATTATATTTCCTTTAACATTATGATTGATTGTTTCAAAGGTTTCAGGCAGATGAAAATATATCTGGTGTAACGCAACTCAAGTCATCAGTTCAACGGAGCATTAGAGCTAAACTAGTGGAACAGTTTCCTTCCATTAAAGATTATATAGATGATATTTGTCCAAAAAAGGAGTCAATGGTGTTGATTAAATGGTATGAATTCATGAAATAAACTGTTTTGTTTTATTGTATGATGTGATTTTGTTTTCATGGCTCTCTCCCCTCAGAGGCTTCTTAGTTGTGCTATAAAGCAGGGTAAATTATTTGTGAAGAGGGGATAAATAAGGATGAAAGGGGAGCATGGGAGCCTGTCACTCCCTGCACTCTACCACTAATTAATTGATATCTTGCACAAAATATTTTGCCTGAAGAAGCCTCTCTAGGAAGCCGCATATTCATATGTTAACACTGTAATTATTGTATATGGGAACAATTATTGTACTGTTTAAACAACTAACATCCAAAATTTGCTTCCCCTTTGATGAGTACAATTGTTTGGCATAATTGGAAACAGAGTAGGGCTTATTAGGACACATAGCGGCTTAATGGGTTAGTAAGAAATATGCTCAACCCATTAAAGGCCCAGTCACTTTCCTCGATCTTGAAGATTAAATTCATAGATCTGGCATTAGTATATAACAGTGTCAACACAGTAGGGGACATCGCAGCTTAAATGGGTTAATGGTATTTGCAGAAATGATGATGATGTAATGTTTTTCCACTTTCAGCCATGATCATGTTGAAATAATATGTGTCAACTCGGAGTTGTTGTTTTTCAAACAAAGAGACAGTCCATATTATCCAACACTAAGATTATTACATCAATGTGAGTCGTTCAATTTATTTGTTGCAAAACTGTTGCATGTATATTAGGTCTCCTACAGTATAGCTAGGCCGATATATGAGGCTGTGAGGTACAGTATATGTAGGTCTCCCATCAACAGTTAAGGGCCTGTTCATATATGTGAACCTAGAAATTCTAGCTATGTCACTGCATGTTGTGTTGTAAGTAAGTTGATCTGAGTAGAGTTTGATTGATTGTGTGTTGTTACTTATTTAGACCCATTTATAATGCCACATCAACAAGTAGACAAAGGTGCCATTAAATTTATTCTGAGCGGAGCAAACATTATGTGTCCTGGCCTTACGTCACCTGGTGCAAATTTAATTGATTCTGACAAAGATACAATAATAGTATCCTTTTATTTTTTAAAATTTAGAAAATTATGTAGACAATGCATCTTCAGACACAAGATACTGTAGACTGAGGAAAATTTTGAACAAATTGGAAGCTCAAATGTAGAATGGCTGTGATTTAATACTGTACCTTCAATCAGTGTGTTTCAATTCTATGTTAAAAATGTTTTCCTCTGCATTCAGAAATAATTTTTAAAATTCAATGTTAAGGTATTTGCACAAGACAATTCTTGCAGCAGTTAATTCATAACATTTTACTGATACAAAGCTGCCTTATTACAGAGCTATATGAAAGAACCGTTGTGCATGGTGTATTTCGCTGATATTCTCAGCCTACACTAGTTACCCTCTGCACCACTCAGGCTCTTTAGTAATTAAAAGCATTCAGAGCTCTTGGTAAGCCAGGCGGCCCAGGCGCGCAGGGAATCTTGGGGAGGCTGAACCTTGTTACAGACAAGGGTGGGTAGTAGCGAAGTAGTTGTAGTTCGCTACTGTAGCGAACTACAATTTTCAAGTAGCCAGTAGTTTTTGACTACTTTTTTAAAACAGTAGCTGTAGTTATAGCGAACTACATTTTGCCTAAAAGTAAAGTAGTTGACTACTTTTCAAACAGAAAATCGCTATTCGCTACTTTTTAAAATTGTTAGCAACTGGATAGAATAGCATGATATTGAGACACGGTTTGCTTAAAATCAATACTCAATTTGCATGAATAAAATATGCCGTGCAAGGGCATGCCATCTTATTCGTAAGTCGATTTGTTATATAGGTTACATTACAGCCTGAGCTAGTAGATGCTCCAAATACAGTAAAATTAAAAAATATTGCGTAGCGAAATAATTCGCTACATTTTTTAAGCAGTAGCTGTAGTCAGTAGCGAACTACTATTGTTCAAAAGTAGCAGTAGTTGTAGCTGACTACATATTTTTGAAGTAGCTGTAGTTATAGCGAACTACAAAAAGTTTGTAGTCAACCCACCCTTGGTTACTGAGCTAGTCATGCCAGCTTTTGGAGTGTACAAGTGTATACAAGTGTACAAGAAATGCTTAATGCTATGGTTTTGGCAAACAAAAAGCAATCTTGACATGAGATAAATGTTTAACAACATTCCATGCATACAAGCAACAAAACTTGTCAAGGAAAACTTGTTGACCGTACATATATAAAGGATATTACACGGCGGCGCGAAAATATCACTTTTATCTTCGAATGGTGAAAACAATATTTTAAGAACAAGCGCAGCGAGTGAGTAAAATATTGTTTTTAACACAAGAAGATAAAAGTCATATCGTCAAGCCACCGTGTAATGTTCTGTTTATTATATAGTCCCAAGCAAATTGTTACGTGATCAATATCTTCACTAGTGAAGAAAAATATCTCGCTGTGTATTTTTCAGTATCTCACTCTCTACTAAATAATTATAAAATAATTATACACATGCACGAACTACGCGAGAAAGTAAAGTTGTCAACGGAAGGAAAACTCGCTAATCTGAATGGGGCTTTAGACTTGTCTAAGTTTATTATTCTATATAATCCTGCATATATACAGGTAACAGGTAGTTCGAATAACATGAGTCATGACACAGCTTGTGGGAGAGGGCGAGAAACAGAGATTTGTTCGTATTAACTTTATTAAGCTAAGTTAGACTGGTTTACGTGATCATTGCAGTAGGAATTTTTGTTGCGTAGGTAAATTCTAAGTTTTGAAGAATTTGTAAGAGATGCATTTTTGAGGGAACCGACTCTTAAACAATGACTCAATTGCCTCAAACATTTCTTACAAATCCTTCAAAATTTACCCATGCAAAATTCCTATTGTGATCACAGAAACTTTGACAGTGTAAACCAGTTAGCCTTTAACGAGCACTCGTCTGACCGTAAATATATCCGACTTTTTTACTTTACTATATAGTATTTAATTTACTTTTATTTTTTTTCAATCAATTGTCACAAAATAGCTCTGAACATTTACTGTAGTTCTATAGATTCAGATAGCTAAATTATCATGTTGTTTTCCTTAACCTAGTCATCTTAAGGCTATACACGCTGAAGGAAAAATAAATGCTTTGGCAGTGGGTACTATGACAATGTCATCCGAAGAGATGTAAGTTTTCGTATCATGCATGAAGTCTATGTAGACTTTACAAATGTCAATCATTTTTTATAAAAAATACACATGACATACAGCTATGATTGAAGGACTGAACAACAGAACTAGGATCCCATGCTAAGTCCATCCATCTAACACTAAAACACGACATATTACGGACTACAAACTGGACAACGTAATACTGATTTACAGGCCTTTATACTGCAGGGTGTATGAAAAAAACTGAACAGATTTGAAATTGCTCTCAATTTCGCAAAACAGCTATTAGTATCCAGTTTTTGATATATATAGTTTTTTTGGGTACTTATAATGTAGAATAATAAAAAAAATTTCTCGAACTCAAATTATGTAAACCAGGGGTGTGTGTGTCTTTTCCAACAAACTAAAAATGGCTTGCGCACGAAATTTAAAAGCTTTAATCGTATTTTGAGTTGATAGATGGAAATAATTACTGTACAAAATTTCAGACAATTTGCTTTAATTTAAGCCCCTTTAACTATTCATTTTTCTCTAAAAAATTAGCCTTTCGCGTGCTTAATTATGCCTTTACCTAATTTGCATATTGCTGACATATGCAAATTAGGCAAAGGCATTAATTAGCATGCAAATAGCTAATTTTTTAAGAAAAAATGTAAGTTTGCGTGAATAGTTAAAGGGCTTAAACTAAAGCAAATTGTCTGAAATTTTGCACAGTAATTAAAAACCCAACAAATTCTCCATCTATTAAAGCTTTTAAATTTCATGCGCAAACCATTTTTAATATGTTGGAAAAGACACCCCCCCCCCTGGTTCACAAAATTTGAGTTCGAGAATTTTTTTGTTATTTTAACGTACCCAAAGAAGCTATATACATAAAAACTGGATACTAATAGCTGTTTTGCGAAATTAAGAGCAATTTCAAATCTGTTCAGTTTTTTTATATACATTATTATTATTATTATTTCTGAATATTTATACAGGATTAAAGCTTCAGTTTTTTACATAATATTTACAGTAAAATACAACGCAAGAACTGCTATCCACGCTTGTCCTGTAAAACCTACGTCTCTAATAATAAACAACTACTAAAACCATAAAATATTGGTAATATAACGCGATGAATATTAAAAATGTTAAAAATGTTAAAACAGTAAATTATTGTTCCTTCAAGCCTTTCCTGAATTTTTCGAGAGTTTGGACTGATCTTAAATATAATGGCAGAGCATTGTATAATTTCGCTCCGCCAAAGTAAAAACTTTGCTTTGCTACCTCCAGCTTCACGCGAGGTAATCTTAACATGCAATTGTTATTTCTTGTTCCTTTTTCATGACTAATCATTGTAAAATACTCGTCAAAAATTGGATTATGTATTTCCTGTATATATATACCTTGTATATAAAACATGCAAGAATAAATACCACACTACTGTGAAATTATTTGCGAGGTTCATATTTGACCAGCACCACTAGTTGGAAACCACTAACCACTTACATGCAAACCAGGTCAGCGCGAGGTAGTGATAGCGGTAATGGAAGTCATGCAAAAGTGACTCCAGCCATTTTACACCAGAATTTAGTCCTTACAACACGTACTTTACAATATAAACATGCAAAAATAAATACTACACTATCAAAAGTTATGCAGGCTATTAGTGCGGACGCAGCTGAAGTTTCAGCATTACCGTGACGACGTACAGTTCAGTTACTTTGTTATTGCAGTCACTTTTTTCCAGAAAATGCCAATTTAATCCCTTTGATTTGGTAAAGATACTTTATTAATATGGTCAACCCTTTACAACGCATTTTAGAATTCAAGTGTTAGTACTCACTTATTTACTGACAAATGGAATTATACGGTCCGCCTACAGTGCCATTTTGGACGAAGTGGACAACAGCTGCGTTCCATTCACTTATAGGGAAAACCTCTGCATGGGAGGTGGATTTAGATTCTCGTCCTCTCATTTTTGGGTTAGGGACTCATAATCATTAACTGCGACGCATGGTGCATGTCGAGGTTTTCAGACAAACAAAAAGCTCAAATTTTGTGCATGAATCTGATTCACAATAGTATGAGCTCTTGGAGAAAATGTGCTGAACTAAATATGTTATATAAAAACTCGTAAACAGCGAGGCATGAATCAATAGGAGAGGGTCATACTTTGTTACGTTTGTCATACGTTTGTCAAATCTTACTAAATATACTATTGCCTTACTTCAATGTATTTCATTCATAGAGTTTCTGTGAACAAAGGAATTGGAGTCGAGAATATTCATTATTTAAATGATGGTTTGTGGCAAATGAAGAAATTAGACAGATGACAATGTAAAATAAATTAAACTGGAAATACTTTTAATTATCGATTACACTCTTGTTGTGACGAATGCTGCAATCTGTAGAGTGGCCGCCAGTGCATGTGTGGACACGTGTACGTTATGTCACTTGTTCAAAACCTAAAAGAGAAAAATTCTAATCCTTTGAAGACTCACTAACACAATAGGCCTTTTCTGATTTACGTTCTACAATGACCCCGAGTGAAAGCTTCGTGCCATATTTGCTATAGAGACATTACAAGTTTGCACGAAGCCTCGTTCTCAGCCTATTGCATGTATGTGGGCATTCGACCGTAATTCGGAAGTGGCTTATTTTTAAGGCATTCGACACTCCCAACTACGTTATAGCCCCCTCCCTCACCTCCCCTCCCCTCCCCTCCCCTAAACCAATCAACCTCAAGCTCACTAGCCTGCGTGGCAGGCCTATTGAATATAGGCCTGCAACAATCTCAAGGAAATTTGGTATTTCGGGGCCGTGAGCGGACTCAAAAATCCTATTGGTTGAAATCATATTGTATGCCAGAATACGCATCAATCACTGTGGCGTAATGTTTATACGCTATCAATAAAAGCGTATATTATACAAATAATGAATGTTTATGAGTGCAATGGTAAGAATATTTTATTGAGGTGAAAGATGGAATGTTCCATTCAACGAGGCGACAGCCGAGTTGAATGGAACATTCCATCTTTCACCGAATGAAAATATTCTTACCATTGCACGAAGAAACATTCATTATTTGTTTTAAAAAATACCAAAATAGACTAATAGATTCGTATGAGAAGCATTTTGAGGGATGCGATTTATCCAAAACACAACGAGTGCAATTGTACTATACGTTTTATTCCATTGCACTTGCGGAGAGTGCAATGGAACGTGTTCCATTGCACTCTTGGGAAATGGATTTTCTATTCAATATCACGTGACCATAAACAGCCAATTAAACGATTAGGATTTAATAAGGTATTATATAATAGCGTATATTTTTGAAAGGGTGCTGTGAATTTGGGTTTTAAACTAAAAACTGAACAGCCGGAAATCGTTGATATGTTTTGGCAGGTTTTCTCATTGGATATCTGCCTTGACAAGTCGAAGAGCATGGATACAAACCCATGTACGTGTTGGTATTTCTCTAAATAATACGGTAGCTATACCCGATCAATTTGAAAATACTGCATTTTGACAAATTATGTATCCTATTAAATACATGTCGCTTTATGTATTTATGAAATTTACTACTCGATCTACAAACGTTTGCTTTTATAGGTTATTATGAGTTTTACAGTATTCTAGACTACAAACTACAGTGCAATTTAGCTTGTATTGTGATATATTTGTATAGTTAAGAGTTTGTTATTGTCAATTTGTAAACGTTTATACTGTTCAGCCGTGAGCCGTTGCAATTTTGAAATAAAGGAATACCGAATGGTTTTCCGTGCAGGATTGCGTGATCCATGCACGAGGGATGTTGCGAGACTTTCGGAAAGCGTAAAAATACTCGAGCCGCAGGCGAGTGTATTTTTACGCTTTCCGAAAGTCGAGCGACATCCCAAGTACATGGATCACGCTATACTGCTTGGAAAACCATTTGGTAATTGTTTTATAAAATAACTACAGTGAAAGTGAGTGAAACAATGACATTTTGAGAATCCCGCGAAAGCATTTTAATCCCTCGTGCAGGATAGCCTGATCCTGCACGGCTATTGACCAATCAAATTGCGTGTTTCACTGTAGTTATTATATAACATATATTCGCTCATAGCTGGTCATAATATGTATGATTTTGAAATTTATTGCAATGTTTGGACCTAAGATGATATTGTCTTCCTTTTGATATAAATATATTTTTGAGTTCCGTTCATTATTAATACGTAAAAATAATGTTGAGTAACGACATCTAAACTGCAGTATCAAGTCAAAATGTTTTGTTCTACTCTGTGAATTGTATCACATACTAATGTATCGAAATGTACCAAACCGACATCGCCGGTGTAAATTCTGTTTTATTTACTCCAAAAGTAATTTAAACTGCCAATTTTTTTAAAGTTTAAATTCTCGAGCCACTCTATATGAACTACAATAGTAATAAATTGAAGTATATTTATAGTTATTACTCACACTGCATCGCGCACACGGGTTTTAGAAAATATGATTGGTTGAATTGGAAATAAATTATCATAGTAATTAGTGGGCGGTTATCAAATTTCCTTGAGATTGTTGCAGGCTCTCATTTACCCATTGAGCCTAGCCTCCTCCGCAGGCAACTGTGTAGTTCTGCAACGTTATTAACCATAAAAGATTTATCAGGAACGTAGAAAATACAAGGAAATACTAGTTCTGAAATACGATATATATTAATTATGGTTAATAACGTTGCAGAACTACACAGTTGCCTGCGGAGGAGGCTACATTGAGCCTGCCACGCAGGCTAGTCTTCGGTCTCCCCATGAAATTATACGCTGTGTATGATTTAATTTAATATACGAATCTGCGCTCTTTCCGTGAGACCTTGCTCCTTTAGTTTTCTCCCCTTAAAATCGCACAAGTCGTTACAGATCTGCAAACAAGTTACAAGATAGATGTTGTCAAGCCGATATCAGGATGTGTTCATCCCCTCATGCACCCCAATGGGGGGGGGGGGGAATCTCCCCACTCCGGCTCAACCTTGTCTCATTCGCAATTTTTCTCCAACAAACGTGACAAATGTATGTACATGTACACAAATAAAATACTCCCGAGTTATGGGGATTTGTTCAGCGATTTTACACTTTATTTTTTCGGCCCAGTCATTCGTGGGCAAATGTAGCTTGTACTAAACAGCAGCCATACTTTGAACGATGACTCAAACATCGTTTCAAATTTGTTCACTTTTTCGTGCAACTTTGAATCACCACTTTGAAAGATGCATCACCATCCGCAACATACAATTCCTTAGTGTGTGAAGTGTGTGTGGCTGAAGAACGTGATGAATCGCTGTCCAATGCTTGTGCTTGCTCTGATTTAGAGCTAGAGCATGGAGAGTTGTTGCACTCGATCACAACAGACAAATTTAGCTAACGTTGTTTACATCGTTACCACCCAACTGAGAACTTTGGAAAGCTCACATGCCTACTTGCCATTATTCTAGTCTACAGAAGCATACGGAATCAATAGAATAGAACAATTTAAGGGTATAATTCAGGTTACCTTTGTTTTTATCTATGCTTCTGTAAACCAGAACATGATCACTACAGGCATGCATGGGAGTTGTCACAAGTTGTGAACTGGGTATAAATCAACTGTTGCTGTGGTTGCTTTGTAGTTTGATTTTGTAGTTTGATTTTGTGGTTGATTTGTAGGGTTGCTTTGCTGCTTCTGACCCTGAGTGTTCACACATTATGATATCCTTAATAGCAGTTACAACTTTTAGGAATTTAGCCTTCACGGCTTCAGAGTAATGTCTACACATCGCTCGACTTGGCACCTGATCGTAAATTAAACTATACCAATATGCCTTAAATGTTTAATTCTTTTAAAACAATTCTTTCAAAAGTCTACACATTTTCAAGTCAAACACTATTTTAAGCTGTACTGAAAACCCCTGTAGAAGGGGGGTTGTTAATTTTTAAAACGGGGCTGCGTGTATGTTTTATTATGTTTTCCCTCCACGACCACGGGGATGTACATCTTACTATAGCCGTCTCGCTTCGAACCAGCCCCCCCCCCCCTGCATGTAACCCCATATATAATTTTTGGTAATCGAAAGAAATATATTTATGACAGTATTACAATTATTGTCAGCTTTTTTGTACAGTTTTTTCTTGGTCAATAATCAGCTGAACAAGCTAAGCTAAGTTGCAGTATACAGTCTTGTCAAAAGGATATCTTTGAGATTTTTAGCTATTTTGTGGGATTTTTAGTGATTTTATAGAAGTTTTGGTATTTTAGGGATTTCGAAATTCTTGGACAGAATTTCGTTATTTTATTCTTTATCTTCGGGAACCTCGCGAAGATTTTTGGAGAATTCACCCCTCGCAAACCTCGCATGAAATAAGATCCAAATATTACACAATACCGTAAGTCCTTAGGCTTCAAGTATACTGTACTATACGTACACAACAAAGGTTGAAGTTCGACTCAAGTTCTGGCCGCGTTCGTGTGCCTCTGTACACTCTTCCGGGGTATTTGTCCTGACTATTGAGCCTTGTTTTCGTGATTGTACAGGTAACGTAATTAGCCTTTCTCACGCCGCCATTTTTGGGTGGCTTTTCAGCCGAAGTCTGCGAGATAAGTCCACATGACAGCGACTTTTTATAATTTTTTGGACGAATGATGGTAAATTTGCTTTGTAAATGGTTAGTTTATTTTGAAAAATTGCTTTTCACATTGTTATAATTGTCTGCATTGCCATTGGTTAATAACGAGAATTAGATGTCACCCAAAAATGGCGGATATATTCGTCATCGTGAGAAAGGCCAATCTCGTTCCCCGAGCCTGGGATAATCCGTTACCGGAAGCCAAGAATCCTGGCTAAGATTGAACTACGCATTCCATTTCAATGGCCAATCAGATTCCTCCCTGAAACGGATTATCCCAGAGCCTCGCGTTCCTTCCCGAGGATCGCAGGCTCGGGGAACGAGATTGGAGAAAGGCCACATTATTGGTATATAACTGTATGGGGTACCCGGTAGAGATGTTATTTCGTCAAAATGTTTGGGACTGTGACTCATTTCTCAACTGTGTAATTCTCAACCATTGTGTAAAATAACCATTATGTTCACTAGCAGTGCATAATGCGTGGGTTGTTAGCAGTGCATAACCATATTGACTATTTGAAAAAATAGAGGCAGATGCGCGGCCAGGATGAAACATAATAATAGACGCTCTCTGACCAAAAATATATATTCATTACAAGCTTTCGGCTACCAATCTGTAGTCTTCAACGGGTATGAGTGTATGAAATATGAAACTATAGTCTATTATTGTATATCAGAAAGATTAGCATAATTGCGTATATGAAATATGAGTGTGTATTGTCAACTATGACTGCTTTTTTATAAGAACAGTATATTGTCCGGGAAGTGGACATGAATTGTTGTCATCCAGGAATTAAATCCAGGAATTAAATCACGTTTGTGAAGCTCTCACACTCAATGGCTCTCCCAAAAACTTGGTTACGAGAATCACCCAACAACAAAGAAATGCACCAACTCCATCTCCTGAAGAATTAGTCAGAACGTTTTTTGAATCGGTTGAAGGAAAAACACAACCCACCGGATACGCAGTTTTGCCCTACATCAAAGGCCTCACGGAACCTCTTACAAGGTTACTACAAAAGCACGACGTAGAAGTTTGCAACAAGCCAATGAAAACCCTCCAGCAAGAATTTCCATCCGCAAAACACCGACCTTCATCCGAAAATCAGACAAACGTGGTTTATCGTATACCGTGTCAAAGTTGTCCATGGAGCTATATAGGAGAAACCGGAAGGTCGCTGAAGACAAGAAAATCGGAACACGTAAGAAATGTAAAGAATCACAAGACTGGATCTAATGTAGCAAAACATGCATGGACTTATGACCACAGGATTGACTTTGAAAACGGGGAAGTTATCGATATGGGAAATTTTAGGACCCGGAAAACTCTAGGGCATGGCATACAGCCTTAACAACTGATGCTGACAACAATTCATGTCCACTTCCCGGACAATATACTGTTCTTATAAAAAAGCAGTCATAGTTGACAATACACACTCATATTTCAAACGCAATTATGCTAATCTTTCTGTATGTACAATAATAGACTATAGTTTCATATTTCATACACTCATACCCGTTGAAGGCTACAGATTGGTAGCCGAAAGCTTGTAATAAATATATATTTTTGGTCAGAGAGCGTCTATTTTATTATTACATATTGACTATATTGGTAGCTTGTTTGTGCAGCTGATGACTTATTTGTTAGGAAAGTGTTTTGACGTCAGGTCGTAATCAAACAAGCGTATATATAGACATTATAGTAAAGACAACGACGTAAGCAAATTTCACTTCGAGAATTATGGAATACATTCACAGTTCTCGGGGAAATTGCAAAAACTTTAATCACAGAAACTTTGACCGTGTAAGCAAACCTTTAAAGTTCAGAAGATATCTCTATTTTCGGCAAGTTGTTCGTTCGTCGAACTGTCCGTTCGTCAAACTGCCGGTCCGTTCGGCAAAACGTCCGTCAGTAGTATAGGAACTGCCGGTTCTAGACCACTAGTTTTCCTCTTCGTTTTCAGTTTTCTGGTTTTTCTAGACCACTAGGTCTAAAGTTTTTATTTATGTTAATACCGGCAGTTTGGTAGTTTAATTGGGATGTGAAACTTCTATTTTTGTTTTGAAGCTTTAGGATCACCTTGGTGGTTCAGCTGGGACTCTGGTGTGATTATTCCACACTTTTCTGATATGAGCTATTTTGTTTGTTTTGGAGCCTCTTCGGCAACTTTTATTTCCTCCTTGGGGGAACACAAGGCAGGGGGCCCTTGTAGTCCGGATACTCTGCTGACATCATCCTTTTCACCCTGTGTGGTCACTTCAACCTTAATATCATTGGATACAGAGAAATTTATATCACCAGCCTTCCCATTTTTGTTAGACTTCCTACGACAGCCACAGATATTACCCAAACAGGAGAAGCATGAGCGCCACTTTGACATGATACTTTATGATACAACATATGTTATACACCTGACCCTGAATACCGTAATGACCAGCAAAAAGACAAGTCCATACTCGAACCAGTGGGCATTGAGTGTTCCGGTTTAACTATAATACACCAAGGCTAGCGTGTTATCTACCAACTCAGCCTGGTTTCCTAAATAGAACATACTATTACCCTTGAATACATAGCAAGCTGTACTTCCACCATTACTTGTGTAAGTTCCATTGAACCAAGTGTGTGATAGTCTTCTTAAGTCTATTGTTCTGAGAACAATTTCTTTTTTAACCTGGGTAAATTTTCCATTAGACTGCTTTTCCCATACAGTAGCCCACAGGATGAGTCCTAATGGTATATTTAGAACAGTTGAAAAGGCTGGGAAATCTGATTTAATAGTAATTGACTCAAGGTTGAGGTCTGTCATATTATTAATAGGATCTGTTCTCCATGAAGGTGGAATCTGATCTTGACAGTAAGCATAGTACCTTGTTGCTGCAACTGATACGCCACGATATCCCCAGATCCACTCTGCGTGAATGTGACGGTTTATTCTTACGTATCTCTTATCAGCCACTGCTTGTACAAGACCTGAGGAAGGTTTTAGGAAATTCTTTTCTACCCATTGCTTGTTAACTGCATCCTTATCATTTACTGGATCCCTTAGATCAAGAATACCACTTGAGTCTCCCATATCCAAATCACCCTTTACCAGTCCATCTCTACTACTCATGAACTCATCAGTTGCCCATTTCTTATTTACAGCAGAACCGTTTGTAGTTGGATTACCTACCCTAGTTAACTCGTAATCGTTAACATCAAGATCACTATCCAGAGTACCACCATTACCCTTCAGGAATTGTTTACACCAGGAGTATATAGTATTAGCAGAAAGTGCACTGGTATTCCCAACCGACCCACCTTTGAGACCCGTAATACTATAACCACCCATGTTAATATTACCAGTCATTGTGAAGCCGCTACTACTAATTGAACTTCCACTAACATGATCAGTGACCCATTTTTTGGAAACAGCAGAATTATCAGTTGTAGGAGCACCTAATTTTATTATTTCATTATTACCCATATCAAGGTCGTCAGATAGAGTAAGACCGCTATAGGTCTCACGCTTATTTCTACCTCCACTAATCTTATTTTCTACCCACTTTTTGTTAACAGCAGATGTATCAGCACTAGGGTCTCCAATGTTTTCAATTTCATTTTCACCCATCTTAAGGGAACCAGTCATTATTTGAGTACCAGCAGTGTTCAAAAAGTTACTTGTATAACTTTCAAGATACTTTAACCAAACTAAGCTATACTCTGTTTTAGGATCAGAACCACAGTTAGGAGCAGACTCTAAGTTAATAATACCTTTGACTAATCTATGGGTAGAATCATCAAGCTTCAAGAATGTATCATTATTTGATTTAAACCAAGCCTTTGTAACAACAGACTGATCACTAGTGGGGTCCCCAGCATTTACTATTTCATGTCCACCCATTTTAAGATTACCTGTCATTGAACTTAAACCGTTACGCTTAACGTAGTAATCTAGGTTACTATCAAGAAAGGCTTTCCTTATGAGACCACTTGAAGTGGAGGCATCTTTACTTGTATGTGGAACTTCATCAAATAGAACACTACCTCGGATAAACTGATTATTACCCCCAGACAGCTTGAGGAAATTGCTGGTGTTTGATTTAAACCATCCCTTGCTAACAGCAGATTGATCCTCAGTGGGGTCCTTAAGATTTTTAATTTCGTGGTTCTTCATGTCAATATTGCCAGCAATATCAAGTCCAGTTACAGGTTTATTTAGCATTCCAACTACCCAGTCCTTATTAACGGCAGACTTTCCAGTTGTAGGATCACCCAAAGCCTTTATCTCATTTGTTGACATATTAAGATCATTCGTAAGGATAAGACCAGGTAGACTTACGTGTATATGTCTACGACTACCTTCAACCCAACTCTTACTAGCAGCGTCACCTCGATTAGTAGGATTATCAAGATTAGTTATCTTATTACCTCCCATGTCAATATCCCCAGTCATTGTAAACCCTGCTGGTTGGATTGTAACAGCAGCCTGTTTAATGATCTCATCATCCACCCACTTTTTTGTGACCGCAGACGTATCATCTGTAGGAGCACCTGAACCTTTCACCTCATTACCATCCATCTCAATGTCACCCTTCATGGTAAATCCATCCTTATCAAACACACTACCACTTGATGGGTCAACTTTATTTACTCCTTTGTTGTATCCCCTATAGAGAGCCATTTTATAACATACATAATGTTTACAAAAACATTTTCATTATAATAAATACAACTGTAGCACCAATTCCAGCCCCGGCAATAGCGCTAACTTCCGAAGACTTATTACTGTTAACCATAGTTTTACGAAAGGAGTTGTTTGCTCTTGGTTTAATCTGTTGTTTTACGTATCCACTAAGAGTATCAAGGTGATTAACAGGTGTTGTATCCTGGTGTTGCTTCTTTGGAGTATCAGTCTTTTTAACACCAACATAATTAAGCTTTGTGTTAACACCACGTTTCATATCAAAGGTAGCATTTACAAGCACATTATTATATCCAATAATAGGTTCCTTTAGAATAATCAGACTGGATGGAACCAAAATTATTCCAGGTGTAATGGCAGTATTAAGTATAACATTAGTGTCTTCAATAGCCTTTCTCATATCAGACAGAGTTACAACGGGATCTGCTTGTACAACACAATCGTGGACAATATTACCGAACTTTACCTGGGTAGAAAATGATTTTCCCAACTCACCTACAACTGGAGTTCTTGTTGATGCTTGTGCCCCTAGTATGGAATATGAGAACGCCTGCACTGACTCATTTAACAGAAGTAGCCCAGTTTCGGTAATCTTTTTAGGAACAACGAAATTATTAACAGCAATAAACCTTCTATAGTCAGACTTACTTACCAGACTTACCGAAACCCTTTCCTCGTAACTAATTTTTATCTTAATCAGAAATCCATTAATTGAATTTATAGGGGATGCAATCACATTTCTAACCGGATTACTATCACTACCTCTCTTTCTAAGCCAACTTGCTTTTTCATACTCAAGTCCATTATCATAAGTAACTCTATAGGTGTCAGTTTTACTTTCCCACTTACCAACAATAGGAATGTGACTCTTTACTGGACCCAACTTACTTAAATATGGTCTCAGTCTTTCCGGGTTATACACAAATTTCATGATAGTGTAATAAACATGAAAATTCATGACACTAGTGATAACAGGATATGTTTCATCAGTAAAAGTCATGTGGTTGGTGGTAATCCCACTAAGATGCGTTGCAATGTAAGCTCCACAGAGTGCAGCAAAGTATGGCTTTGTATAGTCGAATTTTACATCAACATTCTTAATGGTAATAAAGCTTGCCACACTTGGAAGAAGGGATCCACCTGCACCACCAGTAGTAGTAAAAAAGTTTGTAGCATCAACATACACCTTAAAATTGTTGACATCCTTAGGTCATCTTACCCGAGGGAAGTGACTTAGACCATCAATTGTGTCATCAGGATTAATTTTATATCCACTTCCCCTCCCAGATGACCACATAGCTGGCCACCTGCCACCAGTACCTTCTAGAGGAGGTTGTTTCATATCAACCATAGGTATAAACTGTGTGGGAATAATAATTTTCTTAGTACCTGTGAGATAAGATGTAAATTCCTTATCCTTCTTGAAGCCGTCATATCTAATATCATATGAAGATATACCATCTAAATCAACAAACCATGTAACAACACCAATATCACCACTACTAGTAGCCTTTGCTTCAAATTTAAACCTATTCATGTCAGCGTGAGGGTACTTTTTAATAAATCTAGCCCTCGCAGTATTTTCTGCCTTTTTAGCAGCAACGGGATCAACATAGCTGCCTGTATCATTTCCATACTTTTTTTTCATAGTCTTGGTACGACCGATACGGCGACTTACCAACTTGTCCTCCACCTAGTCTCATTCTTAATAACCTAACGTATGTTATTAAGATGAAGTTCACAATTTTACTCCAGAGCTCGCACACAGTTGTATCACTACAGAACTATAATTCAGTCTTTATGAAGAGAGTATCAGTATTCTGGGAGTACTTCAATATAAGGGAACCAACAACTATTCTCAAAGTGAAAACAGATGATGGAGAATCTGATGTAATTGTTAATAAAGGTTACTACACATTTGACAGTATGAAGAAGTTACTTGAAAGACATGGTGTTAAGCTAACCTACTTTACTGAAACAGCAGGATGTCAAATAGAGGCAGTAAAACAAGATATCACAATAGAAACACGATTACTAACCATGTTAGGTTTTAATAGATTTTATAATCCTATGATCCTGCTGAAAGGGAGGAGTTTGACAAGTGATAGCAAAGTTGACTTCAATAACGGTCTACGATACGTAAATATACACTGCAATCTGGTAAGTAGCAGTTACAACGTTAACCCTTGGGGAAGACCCAGCGATGTAATAACAAGTGTTACAATTCCAACTGACAGACCATTATTAGGCTCAGTAGTTAGTTACATTGATGTTGAAAGCAGGACTTCGATTGTTAAGGGTTCGTTCTCAGAACTTGTATTCCACATGACTGATCAAGACGGGAAACCTACATCAATAGGTGAAGTGCTACTTGAGATGTACCTTGAGTAGTGAGCTTATATTGGTTAATATAAGATGGACGACGATATTATGAAAGAACAGGGACTACGAGATATTTACTACAATCCTAAGACAGGATTCCAAACACCAGAGAAACTATATCTGAGAGCAATATCAGACGGACTTGAAGTAACCAGAAACCAGGTCAAGAAATGGATAAATGAGCAGGACACATACACTAGGTACAGACAAGTGTTTAGGAAACATAAGTTCAGACAGACGTACGTCCAAACTTTAGGTGAACAGTTACAAATGGATTTAGTTGACATGACAAAATATGACGACAAGAACAAGGGATACCGCTGGATTCTCACATCCATTGAAATACTGAGTAGGTACGCATTCACGGTACCAGTGTATAGGAAAAACGCGACATGAATGAAGGACGCCGTCAGTAACATTTTAGAGCAATTTAATAATTGTTTTGGTAAATACCCAAAATTCGCCCAGTTTGATCAAGGCACAGAGTTCTACAACAAAGAAGTAAAGTCATTGCTCAATAAACATAACATTGAGTTTTTCTCTACTTACTCAGACAAAAAGGCCGCAGTTGTGGAAAGATTTAACAGAACACTGAAGGCTCTAATGTGGAAGTACTTTTACAGCGCCAGCACATATAAATGGTTAGACGTTCTTCAAGACTTAACTGATAATTACAACAGTTCAGTGAACAGATCAATTAAAACAACACCAGACAGTGTAAATGACTCCAACTGGACTGAAGTATGGAAGACACTTTTTAGTCACAATTTAGGCAAGCCGTCGGAACCAAAGTTTTCTATTGGAGAAAGTGTCAGGATCTCAAAGTACAAATCAGTGTTCACGAAAGGTTACGAAGCAACTTTCACAGAGGAGTTGTTCACTGTGACGGAAGTGTATCACGGTCATCCAAACACATACACAATAAAAGACAGTGCTGATGAACCAATAATTGGTAGATTCTATGAACAAGAACTGTATAGCGCTGAAGGAAGAGAACCTGATTTTAGAATAGAGAAAGTACTAAGAAGAAGAACAGTGAAGGGTAAAAAGATGGCCCTAGTTAAGTGGTTAGGTTATGATGACAAATTTAACAGTTGGATACCAGCTGGAGACATCAAGTCCCTAACATAAGTTAAAGTATTATGGAGGGTGCAGAGGACTATGACGAATATGAAATGGAGGAGACAGAAAAGACGTATCCTCAATATGACGACCTAAATTATGATGACCTGACGACAGCTTTTGGTAGGTTAGATACGGAGGTGAAGGAAGAGGCTATGTATGGTAATGATCCTATAGCGATAACCAATCTTAAAAGTGAACTGGACTATGTAAGGAATCTCATGGAGACACGTGAAATAATTTCCAGAATTGAAGGGTCCTTGAAGGAAATTAAAAGACTTAAGGAGCAGGAAACAACCTTTACTGAGGGTAATGATGGTACAGTGAACATCCAAGGACCATCAGGAAGTACAACCGTCCCAGGAGTCAACTTCGTGGAAGACCCAAACAATGTACTTCCAGATGTGCTAGATGCATTCAACGAATCATTTGACTCTAACTGGGATGAAATAGAAGCCCGCCTAGAGAGACTAAATAAGATTTCAACAGCAAATAAAAAGAGAGATTTCGAAAACCAAGTAGAGCGTGTTCAAGCTGTCACAATAGTTATCAAGGGTAAGGAGGGACTAATACTAGACCCAAAGAATAAATATGTCAGGGAACTCATCAAACGATCATCTGTAAGAACACTCAAGGATGGCACAGAGGTGTTGGTATTTAGAAGTGAACAAGGTATTGACAAAAGTGGGACACAAATAATGAAACGTGGTAAGACCAAGATTCCTGTGTACTCAAAGGACTCACCTGCTCTGAGAGAATATAAGGACCTTCTAAAGAAAATAAAAGAGGTACCTACCGATCCTGACAATATAATTGGAAGTGATGAATCAATTTACGAGAAGCCACAATTTGATGAAAGTAGTGAGGAATACGCTGACCGTGAGAACATTGAGTTAATAGACATAGATGCAAAAGTAGGAGACCTTCCAGGGCTAACAATACAAGAAAACAATGAACTGAGGGGTGTTCTTAACCCACCTGATGGATCAAGCAAAGAAGGCAGAACAGGTCCCAATGGAGCGTTACAAGTTCAGGCTGACTACTTTAATGAAGCCATTAATGAAACCATGAAACGAACCGCCTCTGTTGAAGGTGTAACTGAGTACAATGCTCTTATAGAAAGAATTGATAGTTTGAAGGAAGCTAGGGATAGGACACTAGAGCAGAGAGTTGTAGAGGAAGCAAGAGAGGCACAGTTGGAAGACATTTCTAGATTACGCAGATTTATTAAATGGTTAGGGGAGGAAAAAGTGGGTCTAGCTGGAATAGCAATATCAACAGCAAGTCTAATAACAACTCTTCTTGTACATGCTAGGGGAGCCATTGTGGAGACAGCAAAAGCCACTGGTAAAGTAGCAAAAGCATTAGCAAATTTAGCAAAGAAAGCAGGACCAATTCTAGTTCCAATTCTGAACACCATTGCAACGGCGCTATCATGGGGAGCCAAAGGAATTGCTTGGTTAGCGTCACACCTATGGGTACTAGCTATAGCTGCAGCCTTAATGGTATACAACTATTACACAAAGTAAATTAGCTATGGAGGAACACCAAGAGGAATACGATGACCAGAAAATGGAGGAGTTGAATGAAAAGTATCCAGACTATGAAGAAATGGATATAGAAACTTTAGATAGCGAATTACCGTACCTTGACAAGGATCTTAGGGAAAACGAAACTACTGAGGAGACCCAGAATATTAACGAGGAAATTAATTACGTACAGGAACTGAGGAGGAGAAAAATATTGGAAATATATGAAAGCAAAGTCCTTACGAGAGAGCAATTAGCTGAGAAATTCCCTGACCTATCTAATCTGTCATATGATGATCAAATGGATAGGAGAAACAGACTGTTAAATGAAATAATACTATCGAATTTGGACGAAGACAGTTTCAAAGAAAAGTCGGAAGAACTGAGATACGTCAGAATGCTATCAAATGATTACCAAAGAGAGTCAAACTTAAATAAACTTCTCAACTTGAGAGACAAAGTGAAAAAGAGGGAT